TCAAGGTCTTAACCAGTGAGGTCCAGCATGACACTACACTACCAAGTCTCCCTCCTCCAGCCTCAGCCTCATTCAGTCTCTCCCCAACTAGCTGTCATTTCTGGGATCTGACTAATGCTGTCCCCTTTCCCACTTTCTCTACTGCCTTGGTCCAAGCCACTGCAGTTTCCTTGGGGGTGAGTCGAGTGGCCATTCCAGCCTCCTCATTGGGCGCCTTGCCTATTCTTTCCATCTCTTGCTGTCCAGTGCCCTTTAGAACAACTGATGGGTATCACTGTGGTGCTTAAAGCTTCCCTTCTTCTCACATGCTTCTTCTGTGACCTTGCCCAGAAGGACTTCCTCCTGTTTTTGGGTCCTGGAACTTGCTCTGTAGATGAGGCTAGCCTCGAACTCACAGAGATCCACCAGCCTCTGCATCCCGAGTGCTCCTGCTGGGGTTAAAGGTGTGCGCCACCACTGCCTGGCTTGCCTGCCTGCCTTCCTTTTTCTTTTGGCTTCTGAGACAGGGTTTCTCTGTGGAGCTTTGGAGCCTGTCCTGGAACTACCTCTTGTTGACCAGGTCGGTCTCAAACTCACAGAGATCCACCTGAGACAGGGTTTCTCTGTGGAGCTTTGGAGCCTCTCCTGGAACTAGCTCTTGTTGACCAGGTCGGTCTCAAACTCACAGAGATCCACCTACCTCTGCCTCCCGAGTGCTGGGACTAAAGGCGTGTGCCACCAATGCCAAGCTTATCTTTCTTAATGGTCAACACCGCAGCACCATTGTTCCTGGCCCAGGCCCTGTGACAGGTCTTCGGCCTCTATCCTGTATGTGGGCTGGTCTGATTTTTCCAAATACAATGACCCCACCGCCACCTCCTAAGTGCACTCCTTGGAAGTCTGCCCACCAGGATAAAACCAGCCTCCCATGCTCTGCACCCAGTTAACACATCATCAGAGATGCTGTCAGCACTGAAGCTTCTCTTTGGTAACGTTTGATAATCCAATCCACTGGAAGTCGGATGAAAACCGTACCTGGAAACTGATAAAGACAGAGTCTATTCCTACCTATCCTAGCACTAACAGAGCTGCACACAGCCTGGGGAACTGACTGAGCACAGGACTCAGAGCCCCTTGTATCAGCGTGAACGCCCCTCCTAAACTCCGGGCAATCTTTCCCGGTTCCTCGAGCAGTGAACCCATCTCCCTTCGCCGTCTCCGCCCAGGACTTACTTAGCTTTGAAGCGACTCACTCCGGCCGCAGTCTCGGCCATGTCTGAGTGCAGTCAATTCCTCCAAGCTCAGCAGCCTTTCGCCGCGTGAAACAGGCAACGCGCTACTCTGTACTTCAGGGCACGTTGTGATGACATCACGACCTGACGCCATCAGCACGCGCCCTGGGAACCTATAGGTACCGGCCACTGCGAGCAGAAGGGGAAACTGAGGGTGTTTCCAGCATGAAGACTGGCAGTGGCTACCGTCCTGAACGTCTTGATTTTTAAATTATTATTTATTTACTATTTCTAGTTATTATTTGTTTTTATTATGTCTTGTTTTCTATGTGCAGCCCTGGCTGTCCCGGAACTTGCCCTGTAGACCAGACTGGCCTCAAACTCAGAGATGCTCCTTTCTTTGCCTCCCCAGTGCCAGGACTTAAAGGCGTGGATCACCAACGCCCGGCTGTCTTGTTGCTGTTCTTTTTTTTTTTTTTTTTTTTTTTTTTTAAAGCCGGCGTTGGCCGGGCGTTGGTGGCGTAGGCCTTTAATCCCAGCACTCGGGAGGCAGAGGCTGGTGGATCTCTGTGAGTTCGAGACCAGCCTGGACTACCAAGGGAGTTCCAGGACAGCCTCCAAAGCCACAGAGAAACCCTGTCTTGAAAAAAACCAAAAAAAAAAAAAAAAAAAAAAAAAAAAGCCGGCGTTGGTGGAACAAGTCTTTAATCCCAGCATTCGGGAGGCAAAAGCAGGCGGATCTGAGTTCAAGGCCAGGACAACCAGAGTTACACACAGAGAAACCCTGCCTCAAAAAATAAATAAATAATAAATGAATAAATAGATAAAATTTGCCGGGCATTGGTGGCGCACGCCTTCAATCCCAGCACTCGGGAGGCAGAGGCAGGCGGATCTCTGTGAGTTCGAGGCCGGGCTGGTCTACAGAGAAACCCTGTCTCGAAAAACCAAAAAAAAAAAAAAAAAAAAAAAAAAAAGATAAAATTTAATTTAAACTGGGCAGTGGTGGTGCACGCCTTTAATCCCAGCACTCAGGAGAGAGAAGCAGGCAGATCTAAGTGAGTTTGAGTCCAGCCTGGTCTAGGACAGCCAGGGCTACACATAAAGCCTTGTTTCAGAAAAACCAAAAAACAAAAAAATAAAAAATTAACTTATTAAGGAAGATTCTTGTTATGTATTCAGTTAGCTTTAGGCTGGTTTGAAACTGGTATTCAAGGTTGGCTTCAGGCTTAAGATCTGTTTCAACCTCTTGAATACCCTCAATTTATCATTTAGTGTGTATATGCCACATGACCACCTACTTGCTATAGCATAGATATAGACATGGAAGTAGCTTTTCTTCTTCTACTGTGAAGATCCCAGGGATGAAACTCAGGTTATCAGATTTGGCAGCAGGTACTCAGTGAGCCATCTTTCTGGCTCAGGCCTTTTATTGTTTGTTTTTCGAGACAGGTTTTTGCTGTGTAGCTCTGGTCGTCATAAACTCCCACAGGCTGATTTTGAACTCGAAGAGATCTGCCTGCCTCTGCTTCTGGAGTATTGTGATTAAAGGTATGTACCGTTGCCGGGCGGTGGTGGCGCACGCCTTTAATCCCAGCACTCCGGAGGCAGAGGCAGGCAGATCTCTGTGAGTTCGAGGCCAGGCTGGACCGACAGCCTCCAAAACAATACAGAGAAACCTTGTCTCGTAAAACAAAAAACAAAACAAAAAAAGGTATGTACCATCACTGCCCACTTCAGGCATTTTATCTTAATGTGAAAAATTATTTTTCTTTGTTTTTTTGAGACAGGGTTTCTCTGTATTGTTTTGGGGGTTGTCTTGGAACTTGCTCTGTAGACCAGGCTGGCTTCGAACTCACGGAGATCCGCCTGCTTCTGCCTCCCGAGTGCTGGGATTAAAGGCGTACACCACCAACGCCGGGATTTTCTTTTTTCTTTTTTTTTCTTTTTGTTCATTTGTTTTGTTTTGTTTTTTCAAGACAGGATTTCTCTGTAGCTTTGGAGGCTGTCCTGGAGCTAGCTCTTGTAGACCAGGATGGTGGATTTTCTTAATGTGAATTTTAAAATTGCTTTTGGTTGCCTGGTGGTGGTGGCACAAGCCTTTAGTCCCGGCACTCGGGAGGCAGAGGCAAGCAGATCTCTGAGTTCAAGACCAGCCTGGTCTACAGAGCGAGTTCCAGGATAGCCTCCAAAGCCACAGAGAAACCGTCTCGAAACGCTTCCCCCCCCCAAAAAAAAGGAATTAATTTTGGCCTTGGCATTGAGGAGGCAGAGGCAAGAGCTCTGTGAATTCTAGGCTCCCCCTGGTCTACAGAGGGTGTTCCAGGAGTGGCCGGAATTGTTACACAGAGGAACCTTGTCTTAAAAAACCAAAACAAAATTTACAAAACTTTTGTTTTAAACTGCCAGAGATTTATTTTAGGTGAGGAGGTCAAGGAAGAAGCCAGCCATCTTGAAAGTTCACTATCCTTGTGATGGCTATTCTTGGTTCCCAATATGACTACATCTGGAATTAACTAAAACCCACAGCTAGACCTGTGAGGGACTCTCTTGTCTCTGTCTCTCTCCATTTCTGTCTCTCTCTCTCTCTCTCTCTCTCTCTGTGTGTGTGTGTGTGTGTGTGTGTGTGTGTGTGTGATGGCCCCTCTCCCTATCTGTCTACCTATCAGGGAATTTGTCTAATTCCTAATCCCTCACAGAAACGAAGATATTCTAAAGAGACACTTGTGGTGGCTGGTGAGTGGCTCAACATTTTAGAACAGTTGTTCTTAAGAATACCTGGGTTTTATTCCCATCAACATATGGTGACCCACAACCATTCATAATTCCATTTCCAGGGTAGCCAATGCCTGGGCACCAGGAGTCCACATGTTTCACACACAAACAGGCAAGATAAAATGTTCATACACTCCAAGGTAGGGGTGGCACACACCTTTAATCCCAATACTCAGGAGGCAGAGGCAGGAGGATCTCTGAATTTGAGATCTGCTTGGTCTACAGAGTGAACTCCAGGACAGCCAAGGATACACAGAGAAATCCTGTCTCACAACAAAACAACAAAGACATTTATACACATGAAATAAATCTAAAGAGATAATTGTGGCCAGGCATGGTGGTATATGCCTTTAATTCTAGCACTTGGACAAGGGAAGAGAATCCTTGTGAGTTTGAGACCAGCTTGCCTCTAGAGGGGTAGTTTGTCTTCTGGAAAGAGATTTCAAATTCTAAAAACTTGTCAGATCACCTTATAGGATGATACTGAAGCTTACACTTCTATAAATTTTTCCAGGCAGGGTTTCTCTGTGTAGCCCTGGCTGTCCTGGAACTCACTCTGTAGATCAGGCTAGCCTCAAACTCACAAAGATCATCCATTTCTTGCTTCTGCCTCCCGAGTGCTGGGCTTAAATGTGTGTACCACCACTACCCGGCCACACTTTTCCCCCCCCCATGTCTTGGAAGTCAGAAGACAGAATAAGGTTCTCTGGAACTAGTTACAAATATTGCTAGCAGCCATGTGGGTGCTAAGAATCAAACCTGGGAATAAAATCCAGGGTGTATTTCTTTCACCGACTCTGATTCTAGGGACAAAGTGTGTTTCTTTGGCACTGGTTTCAGGGTCAGGGTGCATTTCTTAGGCTCTGGTTGCAGGGTCAAGTGTGTTTCTTTGGTTGGCTCATTTTCCCCTACAAAAAGAGTCTGGGAAAACAGACCAGGGGATAGTAAGGTCAGTGTCTGATGTGGAAAGTCAGGAGGGGTGACAATGACAACAGAGCACACAGCATGCATAGGACATTAGGTGGGTCAGGCCTGGGCTCAGCGTTTATTTATCTCCTTTATAAGACACCTTGGCCCTGCCCATCCCACATCTCAGCCTCCGGGGCAACCTCATTCTCCTGTACCCTGGCACTCAGAAGCAGGGAGTCATCTTCCATGAAGTTGCCCAACTGTGCCAGCTGCCGGCGGATGAAGTTGGTGGTGCGATGCACTCGGCGCACGCGTCGCAGCAGGCTCAGCAGCAGGTGCTGGTTGCGCTGGTGGCGCTGGATCCAAGCATCACGAAGCTCACGGTAGCAGTTGTGTTGATCACTCTCCGAGGCAGCCAGAGAAGCTCCACAGCCTAAGGGGCAGCGCTGCTGGCCACCCTGCCGGCAATGCTGTCGATGCTCATCCAGGACCCCACGCAGAACCCGAGCAGTGCAGCCCTCATTGGGGCAGTCCATCAACTCGAAGGGGCATGAGTTTTGGTGTCCCTTGCGATGAGCCAGAGGGCATGTCACCAAGCAGCCAGCTGCAGCGTTCTTGCACTAGGGAATATAAGAAAACTCAGTGTGAATTAAACTAGGTTAGGCATTGCCACCTGGGGTTCCCATATAATCTCTGATCTATGATATCCCCTATGAAACAAATGAACTCTGGAGTCTCCTAAACTTTTTTTTTTTTTTTTTTTTGGTTTTTCGAGACAAGGTTTCTCTGTGGCTTTGGAGGCTGTCCTGGAACTCACTCTGTAGTCCAGGCTGGCCTCGAACTCACAGAGATCCGCCTGCCTCTGCCTCCCGAGTGCTGGGATTAAAGGCGTGCGCCACCAACACCCGGCCCTCCTAAACTTTTTATCGGTTTTTTTGAGAATGTTTTTCTTTGTTATAGTCCTGGCTGCCCTGGAACTTGCGATGTAGACCAGACTGGCCTCCTCAAACTCAGATCAGCCTGCTTCTGCCTCCCTGGTACTGAGATTAAAGGCATGCACTATCACACCTTGCTGCCTGCTAAACTTTTGTGATTCTAAGTTTTTCCACTTTGTAAAGTTAGAGAGCTGGAGAGTAATGGCTAGTGCACCAGGCACTTCATCCCTGACATTGGTTATAATCCCCACATTACACCTGGAGTTCCAAGGGACCCCAGAAAGGATAAGCAGCTTGCTCCATCACACACAATGGTAGATTCATACTCTTTAACCATGTCTATGGCCTTTGGCCTATACTTGGTTCTCACAAGGGCCTTCTTCTTGTCACCTCTTCTGTCCCATCCCATGTTGTCCCGTCCCGTCCTGTCCCATGTCCCCCCACCTCGCCAAGAGGACTGGAGTAGATGCTCTGAGCTACCTTGACTTGCAGGCGTCCAATGGTTTTCCGGAGTTTATTCACTTGGACCATCTTTCTCCTTTTCACCTCTTTTCTACAGCATGGACAGGTGTTTTGTCTAAAAGAGGTATCAGTGCAATGTTGGAAATGGAAGCTGGAAGTCACATGCCTGCCAGAGCAAGCCTTCATGGGATAACCTGGCTCGAGGAGGCATGAAGTGGGCCCAGCAATGAGGATTTGGCTACCGAGCTGAGGCAAGGGACTTCTGACACCAGAGAGCGAGGCACACACTTTCTTAGTGTCCCAGATTTTGCATCTGAATCTTATAGCCATTGAATCTCATTTTTGGGGGGGCTGGATAGATGGCTCAGAGGTTAAGAGCACTGGCTGCTCTTCCAGAGGTCCTGAGTTCAATTCCCAGCAACTACATGGTGGCTCACAACCATCCATAATGAGATCTGGTGCCCTCTTCTGGCGTGCAGGGATACATGGAGGCAGGATGTTGTATTCATAATAAATAAATCTTAAAAAAAAAAAAAGAAACCCAGTTTTTGGTAGACCTTTCCATTCTTGGCCATGGGAGTTGCCCGCCCCCAGCCTTACCCTCCTCCCCTGGATTCCCAATGCACCTGGCTAGCCACTGGAGGATGCACTTTTTGCAGAAGATGTGACTGCATGGCAACCTCATTGGCCTCTTGAGAACCCCATGGCAGACCGAACACACGAAGTTGCAGTCAGGAGGGCTGGCAAAGAGGTTGAGATCGTACCCACCACTCTGTAAAGGCCAGGTCAGTGTTAAAGCTTGGGTGGGACCAGACTCCAAGTCCATGTCCCAAAGCACTCATACCATCAAGATATCTCCGCAATCATTCAGTAGGGAGGCAGGCTACATAAAGAAACTCAAGGGCAAACCCGTGGGAATCGACTCCCCCAAGATTTGCCAGTATTTGACTGAAGCTGGAATACCACCTAGAGCCTTCTGAAATGTTTTCTTGTCCCATAAAAGAACTAACATTCATTCTCAGAGTGAGATAGGATTGATTCCTAGACAGCTGGTGGAAAGAGGCCAGGGACTCACCATGATCTGTGTCTGGACGGCAGCTCCACTGAGGCCAAGGGCTCAGGAGCCTCCATTTCACAGCACATGTGGCCCGACATCACAGTGGCATTGTCTAGCTCAGGCCAATCACAGCTGTGGTTCAGGGCCAATTGGGACCTTGTGGCTTACCCTCTGAAGGTGAGTGGTAGGGTAGCCTCAACTCAGGAGTAGTCTGTGGATTCTCTCCCTTGCCTTGGTTGTGGCTGACAGTTGAGCCTAAGCTTCTAGGGTCTGGTTCCCAAGGCCAGGAGGATCCCAGGAACTGCAGCCTCCTCCACTGACTGGGTGGTCAGTTCAGATATTGGTCCTTCTCCACAAACGTCCCTTTACTAAGAACTAAGCCCAATAGTAGGAGCCCCATCCTGTAAAAAAAGCCCAGTTTTTTCAATTTAACTGTAAAGAAAGGTGGCTGGGCAGTGGTAGCATAAGCAAAGCCTTTAATCCCAGTACAAGGGAGGCAGAAGTAGTCCTGTCTCTTTTGAGTTTGAGGCCAGCCTGGTCTACAGAGCTAGTTCTAGGACAGCTAGGGCTGTTTCACAGAGAAACCGTCTGGAAAAAATAAAAACCAAAAGGCCTTTGGGAGATAACAATTTTAGAATACATGCTGTAGTGTAGTTCTTTTGAGTATAACCTCATCTCCATATTGGCATAGAGATCACACTGGCCAGATAACTACATTAACTAAGCAGAATACAAAGTAGGCCTAAGGAAAGCCGGGCGTTGGTGGCACATACCTTTAATCCCAGCACTCAGGAAGCAGAGGCAGGTGGATCTCTGTGAGTTCAAGACCAGCCTGGTCTACAGCGCAGGTTCCAGGACAGCCTCCAAAGCCACAGAGAAACCCTGTCTCAAAAAACGAAACAAAAAAAAAGTAGGCCTAAGGGAACAGTAGTAGAGGTACTCATGATGCTCTCCTTCAGCTGCAGGTATCCTGGAGTACACAGAGTAATTTAGGGCCACTCCATGAAGTTTCCAGGTCATAACCTTTGATTGGGTAGGACTTTACTGTTTCAGGGGCACACGTGCTCGATATCGCCTCATCAAGTTTAACTTCAGGGATCACACTTTCGTCATCACTAGTGCCCTAACTGGGGTGAACAGATGTCTCCCTAGGGGAGGAAATGCCATCACATTCCTTCCATGTGGTCATCTTCTAGTTTGTCTGCATAGGTCTGTGCAGGTGCCCGAGCTGGGACCTCACTAGTGTCACCTTGGCAGGCCTGCCTCTGCTTCCTCACTGCAAGCAACCACAGCCAAGTTCCAGTCATTTGAAGAAGTCGAACACTGAAACTACTGTAGGATCCTTGCTTTGCTGCACAGCACATTTGGGGCATCAGGACACAAGTCTAACCCAACTGAAACTTGTCACACACAAATCCCCCCTATTCTACCTGTGTAGTGACATTTGGAAGGCTGAAGCAGGATTGCTAAATTCCATGTCCTCACTAAATACACAGTAGGACCCAGTCTTTTTTTTTTTGGTTTTTATGAGACAGGGTTTCTCTGTATTGTTTTGGAGGCTGTCGGTCCAGTCCGGCTTCGAACTCACAGGGATCCGCCTGCCTCTGCCTCCGGAGTGCTGGGATTAAAGGCGTGCGCCACCACCGCCCGGCAGGACCCAGTCTTAAAAGCAAAACTATACTTAGGGTTGGAGATGACTCAGAGCCATTTTCGTTTCAAAGGACCTGGGTTTGGTTCCCACTAGCCACAAAAAGAATCTCAACTATATGAAACTCCAGTTCCAGGTGATCAGACAACGTGGTGACTACACAAACGCGCAGTCGAAATAAAAGCACACTAAAAAAAAAGATCGCCGGGCGTTGGTGGGGCACGCCTTTAATCCCAGCACTTGGGAGGCAGAGAAAGGCGGATCTTTGTGAGTTCGAGACCAGCCTGGTCTACAAGAGCTAGTTCCAGGACAGCCTCCAAAGCCACAGAGAAACGAGAAACCCTGTCTCGAAAAACAAAAAACCGAAAACGCCTTTAATCCCAGCACTCGGGAAGCAGATGCAGGAGGATCTGTGAGTTTGAGGCCAGCCTGGTCTACAAGAGCTAGTTCCAAGAGACACCCTGTCGCGAAAAACAAAACAAAAATGGGGTCTGACTGCCTGTTGGGACTAACGCATCCAACTACGAATACGTTTTTCACCTAGACTGACAAAAACCCTCCCCCCAAGAAATACATACACGGTAAGTTAAGTTAAACAAACCACTTTATTTGAGGAGAGGGCATCGGAACCCAGCCATTTTCGTGGGCGAAGATGCGGCAGCCTCCAGATCCAGTGGAACCTGTGGATAGGGAACATGGTTAGGAACGATGCCACACGCCAGGCCGCGAGAGCCGCGAGCGATCGGGAATGTAGAGGCCTGGGTTTCACCCTCCCACACTGGGGCAGCGGGCGGTGAGCTGAGGCCCCTGTGGCTCTGGGCGCCGAATCTCACCTCCGGTCACAGCCAAGGCCGAAAATGATTTTCAACGAACGCCCATTTACCCAGCCCACGGCGAACGCATGGCCGCCGAGACCCACCTTACCTGGGGCAGAGACAGACGGCAGGAAACGACAAACACTAGGAGGCCGCAGAGGCGCCGCCCGGACTTTTATAGGCCCTCCCAGTCGGCGTGCTTCGGCGAGGCAATATGCGCAGGCGCAGGCGGAACGTGGCGGGGGGTGGGGAGACAACACGCAGCCAATTACAGTCTGCGGTGAGCTGCACCGGCAGTGGAGATATCGCGGCGTTTGGTGCACTATAAAATCTCCCTTCCGCACAGCCGCGCTCTTCTTCTACTTCGGGAAAACACGTGAGTCTGTCTTTCTGGGTTCGGCCTTGGTGCCTGGGCCGTGGAAATCGGTGGGCATCCGGGCGGAGGCGCCCTCGGGCGGGAGGTCCCCTATCGAAACCACAAGCGGCCGCAAAGCCGAGTATCCTTCTGAATCGCTTCTTTTTTGTCTCTAGCAAATGGCGGATGACGCCGGTGCAGCGGGAGGGCCCGGAGGACCCGGGGGCCCGGGATTAGGCGGCCGCGGCGGCTTCCGCGGAGGCTTCGGCAGTGGCCTCAGGGGCCGCGGTCGTGGTCGAGGCCGCGGTCGTGGTCGAGGCCGTGGGGCTCGTGGAGGTAAAGCCGAAGACAAGGAGGTAGGTCCGGGCCGTGGGCGGGGCGGGCAGCGCGCTCTCTGCAGGAGGCAGCCCTTTGACTGGTGTTTTCCTTCAGTGGATCCCGGTCACCAAGCTGGGCCGCCTGGTTAAGGATATGAAGATCAAGTCCCTGGAGGAGATCTATCTGTTCTCCCTGCCCATTAAGGTACAAAGACATCGAGGTGCTGAAACGTGGTTTTGCTGGGAAGGTGGCTGTCTAGATGGAGAGGATTTGGATAGCCTTTTCTGTCCAGTGATGGAAAACAAACAACATGTTTCCCGCTAACTTTCTGCTTCAGGAATCCGAGATTATTGATTTTTTTCTGGGCGCATCTCTAAAGGATGAAGTTCTAAAAATCATGCCAGTACAGAAGCAGACTCGGGCTGGCCAGCGCACCAGGTTCAAGGTATTAAGTTTGTTCGTTGGCAAGGTGGAGGTGTTTAACTCTCTCACTCTGCATAGTTACACTAGGTTTCACCCGTGTGACTTTCGTACCGGGAGAGAGAGAAATGAGTTCCCTCTAGTACCTTTGATTGGCCTCAGAGTGGCCTCTCTTTCCTAGAGGAGCACCACAGGTCCTATTTGGGGTATGTTGGTTCTATGAAGTTTCACAAGCCATTTCACCTAAGTCAAGTTTCTTCACAGGCTTTTGTCGCTATTGGGGACTACAACGGTCATGTTGGTCTTGGTGTGAAGTGCTCCAAGGAGGTAGCCACAGCCATCCGGGGGGCCATCATCTTGGCCAAGCTTTCCATTGTCCCTGTGCGGAGAGGTTACTGGGGGAACAAGATTGGCAAGCCCCACACTGTCCCATGCAAAGTGACGGGCCGCTGTGGCTCTGTGTTGGTGCGTCTCATCCCTGCCCCTAGAGGCACTGGCATCGTCTCTGCTCCTGTGCCCAAGAAGCTACTGATGATGGCCGGTATTGATGACTGCTACACGTCAGCCAGGGGCTGCACTGCCACCCTGGGCAACTTTGGTACGTAGCTCACCCGATTGCTGTGGCATCTCTCAGCTCCGCTGCAGCACACTGGTCCAGTGTGTGCTTGGCGTATTAGGGGAGAGAGAGGATGGCCCTCCTAATGCACAGCAGACGTGCCCCAAAGTGGCCCTCTGCTCCCAGGAGTGCAACAGCTTCTTAGTGGGAGGGACCTCTTATCTTGGGTTTTAAGCCACTGACCCTTGTCACTGCTTTCCAGCCAAGGCCACCTTTGATGCCATCTCCAAGACCTACAGCTACCTGACCCCTGACCTCTGGAAAGAGACTGTGTTCACCAAGTCTCCTTATCAGGTACACTGATTCAGCTGGTGTATTGGCTGCTTTGGCCTTTCTTTTGGGTGGGTGTTCGAGGCAGTTTCTCTCTGGCTGTCCTAGAGCCAGCTCTTGCAGACCAGGCTGGCCTTGAACTCAGATCTCAGATCCATCAGCATGGATCTGCCTCAGGAGTGCTGGGATTAAAGGCATATAAGGCCACCACCTGAGTAAGGGATGTGTTGTATTAATGTCCCACTTATCTTTTCAGGAATTCACGGACCATCTTGTGAAAGCCCACACCAGAGTCTCTGTTCAGAGGACCCAGGCTCCAGCTGTGGCCACCACATAAGGGTTTTCATACAAGAAAAATAAAGTGAATTAAGTCTGTTAATTGTTTTGTCTTTTTTTTGGGTTGCTATCCTCCCCGTGCTTGGTCTTTTGGAGCTTCACAGCCTGTAGGCTATGCAGTAGTGGACACTAAATCACAGGCAGGGTACACAGTCACTTTATTTCAGCAATGTGACAATACAGAGTTCTTGGAGTCTTACGCAGCAGCTGCTTGCTTGGCAGCCCTCCTCTCTTCCAGCATCCTTTGCTTCTGCTTTGCCAGGCACTTTCTGGCAGAATAATAGGCTCCCAGGTCATAATCTGTAAAAGAGATGGAGTGCAAATGGCCTTTTATTTACGTTGTGGGAATTGGACAAGGTGGAGAAACCAGAAGCAAGGGTTAGACTTACAGCGGTCATGGTAGGCTCTAGCCACCTGGGTGAACTGCTCTAGTTCCTTGGCACAGTTCTGCTTTGCACTCTCTCCTTCTCTCTGCTGACAGGCTTTAAGCCTCTCCTGGATGATGTTGACAATTTCCTGGTCAACTTTGCTGCAAGAATAAAGGATAACAATGCTTGTCTCAGGAAGTTTAGGGTGGAGGCCTGCCTCAGCCCAGGAGTCTGGGTCCTTTCAGGAAGGGAGGGTTTTACAAAGGATAGGGCCACGCCAGCAATTGTCCCCTGCTGTGTACTTACTAGTCCCTTCTCCATTGCATCTCAGCTTCAAAGATACACAGGACATCACCCTGTTTGCATTCTGTGATGTCTGGCACACGTCGGAACTGCCGGTGATAGTAATAAATTCGGTTCTTGGCATGCTGTTGCTCAATAAACTCTGCAGAGAGAACACCTCAAACTCAAGGCCTGTCTGCTTAGACTTTAGCTAGGGGGTCTAAAGTTCCAAGCTTTTACACAGAGGCGGTCCTGTGAAGGAACTGCTAGTGGTTAACCGCTACTCACCTGTGCCCCTACCCATCTTAGAAAGCAGTTCCTTACATAGAAGATACATACTCAATTTAGGATTGAGAACACAGTTGGGCCTACCTGCCCCATGGTGCAGAGGTTTGAGTAGACAAGGAAGTTCCATTAGCAATTCAGCAGTAGGACCCAAGTTAAAGAGCACAGAGTTCAGACATTGAGATGCTACCACAAAAATGGAGCTGACCTTGGAACTGGCATGTAAACTTCCACTTTCCTAACCCAAAGACCTATAAACCAGGGACAGTGACTTGTCTGTAATCCAAGTTACTGTCTGTATACTGTGAACACAGTCTCTTTCCAGAGGTCCTGGACAAACACTGACCATGCAGATGGATAGCAAATTATCAATTTCCACAAGAGCTTACTGACCGGCTACTGGAGCACAAGTAGCAAAACTCACTGGTGGTGGGCTAGGTTCCCGACCACTACCGTTTTTTGTTTTGTTTTTGTTTTTTACGACAGGGTTTCTCTGTATTGTTTTGGAGGCTGTCGGTCCAGCCTGGCCTCGAACTCACAGAGATCCGCCTGCCTCTGCCTCCCGAGTGCTGAGATTAAAGGCGTGTGCCACCACCGCCCGGCCTGGTTTTTTGTTTTTTTAAGACAGGCTTTTTCTGTGTAAACTTATCCGTCCTGGAACTTGCTCTGTAGACCAGGCTGGCTTCTAACTCAGTCACCTACCTCAACCTCCCCAGTGCTGGGATTGAAGACAAGAGCCACCACTGCCTAACTTCCGGTTACTACCATTTAAAACGAGCGACAGGGGTCTGAGGTAGTCCGGGTTCTGCTGAAGGCAGAAAGACTTATGGGAGGGCGTAGTGCCGGGAAGGCGATGGGAGGTCTGGGGTGCTGCGCGGGGAATCAAAAGGTTCCGGCAGCGGGTGTCCTAGGTGCACTGGGGAAGGTTAAGAGATGACTTGGAAACGAAATAAAACGAAAACGAAAAAAAAAGTCTATTTGGACTCGGGGGCTCTGGATGTGGGAAAGCAACGTGCAGCGGCTGGTGGTTGAACCCTGGGGACGGGCACTGGACGTGGGATCCGTGGGGTACCAGGATCCACTGAGCGGGTGGGATCCCAGACCCTGTACCTCTCACGAGGGTCACGGGCCGGTCCACGACGAGATCGAAGGCCTTCATAAAGTAGGTCAGGGGGTTGGGGAGCGAGGTTTGTGGCGAGGGAGCCGGCGTGCGGCGCGGGGGCTCAGGGTACACATCCTTGTCCCAAGAGTCCGGCATGGCTGCAGCAAACCCTCCCTGCCGACCTCCAATTCGTTCGCGTCCGGACCAGCTCGGCCTGCGGAGGACAAGAAAACACGCCTGCGCGGAAAGGCGGTGCTGCGCCTGCGCAGTGGGTAGCCGCGGGGCACCACGGGATCGTGGCTCAGCTCTCGGGCACCCTCTTGTGGTTCCCAGCGCTATTGCACAGTGGCATCCTGGTTTAGCTGGACAGGGTTCACTGGGAAAAGCTTTGCCCTGACTTACCTGCGAAATTAGCAGAGAGCAAGGTGAACACGGCTTGGCAAAGAGGACACACACAAATCAACCAATAATAGAAACACCAAACGCCCCACTACTCCAGGAAGTCATTCTGGACTGCTAAGCCCTCTAGTCTGTGGGTGCCAGTGAACCTGGGTGCTTCTCTGAAAAGGCAGGGCTTGTCCCGTTGTAGTCCATGGGAGAATAGAGTAAGCACAGAGTGTTTTACCCTGCTCTGGGGGGATTCTTCTCTAGTCCTGAACTCTTGTGCCCCAAGTTGTTCACTGTCCAGGACTGCACTGCCCAAACTCTGAGTTCATGTGTATAGAAGTGGCTTTGCAGCCTGGGCAGTGGAAATCCTCACCTATCTGTCATGTTGGTGCTGGTCACCTCCTGCCAGTGTTGGGGACTAAGAACATAAAGCTATCAACTGCAGTGACTTACCAAATCTAGTATTACACAAAAATCAGTTTATGATACCCACAAATCTTAACATTTTGGTAGCATGGAATCTTAATATATAATGCAAAACCACTATCCCTGAGGGACATCTTAAGCCTAGTGGACTCAGTAATTACACAACTATAGGACCTTGATTCTGTAACAATAGACTCTTGGGATTGAAAAATAACTCAGAACAGCAGTGGCACACGTCTTTAATCCCAGCACCCTGGAGGCACTTGGATCTCAGAGTTCCAGGCCAGAACAAAACAAACAAACAAAAAAGAAAGAAAAAGAAGATAGAAGGCAAGAGGCACAAACCTATAGAAGGAGCACACGAGGGACTGAGCTGGGATGATCACTTGAATCCAGGACTTCAAGACCAGTTTAGGGAACCAGATATGTAGGTTCATGCCTATAAGCCTGACTGCCATTTTGGTGACCGAGGTAGAAGGATTGCCAAGAGGTCAAGGCCAAATGGGCTATAATGTGAGACCTTTTCTCAAAAGAAAAAGAAGCAATTGGAGGACTGGAGAGATGGCTCAGAGGTTAAGAGCACTGACTGTTCTTCCAGAGGTCCTGAGTTCGATTCCCAGCAACAATAAATAAAATAAAAATTTCTTTAAAAAAAAAGAAAGAAAGAAGTTAACAGGTTTTCCAGAAAACCTGGGTTTGATACCTACCACTCAGTTTATAACTGACTGTAACTCTAGTTCCAGAGGATCTGGTGCCCTCTTCTGGCCTTTAAGGACACCAGGCACACAAATAGTGCACAAACATACCTACAGACAAAGCACCCACACAGATAAAATAAAATAAGATTTAATTTAAAAAGGCTGTGGTGTGTAGCTGGACATTGGTGGCCCAAGCCTTTAATCCCAGAGGCCAGAGACAGGTGGATCTCTGTGAGTTTGAGACCAGCCTGGTCTACAGAGTGAGTTCCAAGACAGCCTCCAAAGCCACAGAGAAACCCTGTCTCCAAAAACCAAATATAAAATAAAAAAGGCAGTGGTGTCACAGGCCTTTAATATCAGCAGTCAGGAGGCAGAGACAAGTGAATTTCTGTGAGTTTGAGGCCAGCCTGATCTACAGAGCCAGTTCCAGGACAGCCAAGGCTACACAAAGAAACTCTATTTCAAAAAAAAAAAAGAAAGAAAGAAAGAAAAAGAAAAAAGCCAGGAGAGGGGGTGGTACATGCCTTTAATTTCAGCACTCAGAAGGTAGAAGCAGGTAGACTTCTGAGTCTAAGTGACCAGACTGGCCTCTGGCTCCTGAGCACTGGGACTAAAGGCGTGTGCCACCACTACCCAGTCTCCACTTCAGTCTCTGCCTTCAAATTTTTGACTTGAGTTCCGCATTGGTTTCCCTCAATGATGGACTGTGATCAGGATGTGTAAGCCTTTTTTTTTTTTTTAAGGTTTATTTATCATGCATACACTGTTCTGCTTGGATGCCAGAAGAGGGCATCAGATCTCTTTACAGATGGTTGTGAGCCACCATGTGGTTGCTGGGAATTGAACTCAGGTCCTCTGGAAGAGCAGACAGTGCTCTCAACCTCTGAAACCTCTGAGCCATCTCTCCAGCCCTTGAGTTGCTTTTGATTATGATGCTTTAAGTTATTTTATGTTGTGTGTGAGTGTTTTGTTTGAATGTATGTCT